TGGGAGGCCGAGACGGGCGGATCATGAGGTCAGGAGATCGAGACCATCCTGGCTAACACGGTGAAACCCCGTCTCTATTAAGAAATACAAAAAACTAGCTGGGCGAGGTGGCGGGCGCCTGTAGTCCCAGCTACTCGGGAGGCTGAGGCCGGAGAATGGCGTGAACCCGGGAGGCGGAGCTTGCAGTGAGCTGAGATCCGGCCACTGCACTCCAGCCTGGGTGACAGCGAGACTCCGTCTCAAAAAAAAAAAATTAAAGACTGGGAAAAAAAAATGACACGTCACATATCCATCAAAGGATATGTCTCAAGAATGTATAGGCCGGGCACGGTGGCTCACGCCTGTAATCCCAGCACTTTGGGAGGCCGAGATGGGCGGATCACGAGGTCAGGAGATCGAGACCATCCTGACTAACATGGTGAAACCCCGTCTCTACTAAAAATACAAAAATTAGCCGGGCGCGGTGGCGGGCGCCTGTAGTCCCAGCCACACAGGAGGCTGAGGCAGGAGAATGGCGTGAACCCGGGAGGCGGAGCTTGCAGTGAGTGGAGATCGCGCCACTGCACTCCAGCCTGGGAGACAGAGCGAGACTCCGTCTCAAAAAAAAAAAAAAAAAAAAAAAGAATGTATAAAGAACTCCCAAAACTCAACAGTAAGAAAATCAAGGCCAGACATGATGGCTTATGCCTATAATCCCAGCACTTTGGGAGGCCAAGGCGGGTGGATCACCTGAGGTCAGGAGTTCAAGACCAGCCAGGCCAATATGGTGAAACCCTGTCTCTACTAAAAATACAAAAATTAGCCAGGCGTGGTGGCACGTGCCTGTAATCCCAGCTACTCGGGAGGCTGAGGCAGGAGATAACTTGAACCCGGGAGGCAGAGTTTGCAGTGAGCCGAGATTGAGCCACTGCACTCCAGCCTAGATGACAGAGACGAGACTCTGTCTCGAAGAAAAAAAAAGGAAAACCAACAACCCAATAAGAAAAAACTGAGAAGAGACTAGAATAGACACTTCATCAAAGGAGGCCTACAAGTGGCCAAGAGGCACATGAACATCATCAGCCACCAGGGAAATGCAAACTAAAACCAAGATGAGATCCCAACTACACAACAATTAGAATAGCTAAAAGTTAAAAAGCCACTGATAATAGCAAGTGTTGGCAAGTCAGGATTCTCCATAGAAACTGACCAAGAGGAGATACATCTGTATCTATCTATGTATCTGTATCTATCTATGTATCTATCTCTCCGTATCTGTATCTATATGGGGTGGAGAGAGAGAGACTATAGGAACTGACTCATCCAAATGGAGGCTGAGAAGTCCCACAGTGTTGTCTGCAAGCTGGAGCACCAGGAAAGCCAGCAGTCTGACACGGTCCAGGTCCAAAGGCCCAGGAACCGGTGGACTGATGCCTACGGGCAGGAGAAGATGGAGGTCCCAGCTCAGAGAGAAAATTCACCCTTCCTTGCCTTATTTTTCTACCCAAGCCCTGAGTGGATGGATGCTGGCTGCCTACATGGTGAGGGCAGATCTACTTTAGTCAGTAGGACGCTCCAATGCTCGTCTCCTCCAGAAACCCCTTCACAGACACCCTCAGAAACAGTGTTTCCCCAGCATCCGGGCATCCCTCAGCTCAGCTGAGCTGACATAAAATTAACTATCAAAGATAAAGGTGACCCATGTCCTAGTTTGTTCAGGAGTTTCCTGATTTTTGCATGGAAAGTCTCAAATCCCAGGAAACCCCTCAGACCCGGACAAAGTGCAGTGACCGGTCACTGTGGGCGAGCACAGGCAGCATCTGGAGCTCACACACTGGACGGTGGCCAGCGAGATACTGTGGCCACTCTGGACAACAGCCAGGCAGTTACCTACAAACTGAGTACTGAGCATTCTCACTCCTAGGTGTTTATCCTGGAGAAATGCAAACCCATCCTCACACGAAAACCAGTACACAAATGTCTAGAGCATGCCTGCTTGTGACAGCCAAAACCTGGAAATGACACAGATGTCCTTCAAGATCTGATAAAGTGGCCGGGCGCGGTGGCTCAAGCCTGTAATCCCAGCACTTTGGGAGGCCGAGATGGGCGGATCACGAGGTCAGGAGATCGAGACCATCCTGGCTAACACGGTGAAACCCAGTCTCTATTAAGAAATACAAAAAACTAGCCGGGCGAGGTGGCGGGCGCCTGTAGTCCCAGCTACTTGGGAGGCTGAGGCAGGAGAATGGCGTGAACCCGGGAGGCGGAGCTTGCAGTGAGCTGAGATCCGGCCACTGCACTCCAGCCTGGGCGACAGAGCGAGACTTCATCTCAAAAAAAAAAAGAAAAAAGATCTGATAAAGTGAGCAGTGGCCAGGCTGCGGGGCACGCATGCGGCAGATCAGGCTCCCGAGTGGAAAGGGTGAGCCTCGGCGGCATGTTGGAGGGAAAGAAGCCAGTCTCAAACATTACATACTGTAGGATTCCGTTGATTTATTACTACGTATTATTAGCTTTTTGAGACAGGGTCTCACTGCATTGCCAAGGCTGGTCTCCAACCCCTGGACTGAAGTGATCCTCCTGCCTCAGCCTCCGGAGTGGCTGGGATTCCAGGCTCTACCACCACATCTGGCTGTGATTCCATTTGTCCGATGTTGTCAAAAGGACACAAGCCATGGAGAAGTAACCAGCAGCTTCCAGGGGGTTGGCGAGCCTGGTCCTGCAGAGGAGCGCCATGAGGGGCTTTCTGGGGTGATAGGACCACACTGCATGTGGGGGTGTGTGTGCAGAGGGGAGCACCGCACAAATCCATACAGGCAGGAACACTGCTAGAACTCAACGCTAGTCAGTTCTGCTGTGTGTTAATTTTGTTTTATTTTATGTATTTATTTTTGAGACAGAGTCTCACTCTGTCACCCAGGATGGAGCACAGTGGCATGATCTCGGCTCACTGCAGCCTCCATCTCCCGGGTTCAAGTGATTCTCCCATCTCAGCCTCCCGAGTAGCTGGGATTACAGGCAAGTGCCACCACACTCGCTAATTTTTATATTTTTAGTAGAGATAGGGTCTCACCATGTTGGCCAGGCTGGTCTCAAACTCCTGACCTCAAATGATCTGCCCTCCTCAGCCTTCCAAAGTGCTGGGATTACAGGCATGAGCCACCATGCCTGGCCCTGTTTGTTAATTTTAAAATGAAAGCTTTTAAATTAATAATAATTCCTAAATGTCATCCCATATGGAGTCAGTGTCCAGATTTCCTATCTATATATATGACTTCCCAAGTGCAACTGCATATACCATTTGTTCACACTTCCATCCCAGTAAGGTCTATCCCTCCACACCTGTTTCCTTGTCTCTTAAGTCTCTTTTTGCCCCTGCAACTGAGCTGCAGAGGACATCGAGCCTCCAGCCTGTGGTGGCCACAAACTGGACTTTGGACCCTGTGCCACCTCCCCTGTTACTCAGCACCCTTCTCCTGGGCTTGGCCGTAGGTGGTAAGGCTCATGGGCTTCTTGGCTTCCATGGGGAGCCCACCTCCTCTCCCGCAAGCCCAGGTGGTCTTTATCAGACTGCACACTCCCTCAAGTTGGGGTACAGTGGCAAGATGGTGGCACATCTTCCTGGAAAGTCCCATACCCCAGGGTGTCTAAGGACGCCCCACCAGGCCCCCAGCCCCCTCCCCTGCAGAAGCTGCAGCTTGGCCTGGGGGAGGGGCTGGAGGAGGGCACAGCCCCCAGGATGAGTGGGCACTACCCTCCAACAAGGGGCTGTGGAAACTGAGGGAAGAGGAGATGTGGAGACAAGAGGCAGGGCTGCCTCGTGGCCGGGGGAGCGGAGGGCCCAGGGCCAGCTGACCCACCACGCCAAAGCGAGCTCAGCCTCAGGCCCACCGGAGTACCACGACTGCGCAAGCTGCCCCTCCAGTACTAACCCCCAAGTCAGAGGGGCACGGCCACAGGGTGGCAGCGGCTCTGTCCCTGCCCTGGACGGCACATTTGGCTGTCGGCCTCACAGATGAGGACCTTGCCCTTTTGCAGACCTCCAGGTGTGACTCCAGTCAGGGCCCCATGACGGAGCCTCCAGTGGGTCCCGTGGGTCCATCCACTTAGCAGCTTCTGGAAGGCCACTAGCAGCTCCCTAGCCCCTTCACTCCCTGTCCCTCGGGAGGTCCCAGGAGGCCATGGCTGAGAGGTGCTGCAGCCAGGAGTGCAGACCCCATCGCAGGGAGGACAAATCACTCCTCCACGACACAAGGAAGGTCTGGGGGCAGGCCTGGGGGTCTCACTTCTGGGACTACCGCTATGCTCTTCCTCCAGGTCACCCACCCTCCTCCTTGGCACAGTGCCCCAGATCACAGAATGACTCAGGCCTGGGAGCTGGGTGAGGGCGAGGACTTCCCCAGGACCGCTCCAGACCTGGGTTTTCTCAGCCCACTGCCCTCACCAGTTGCTACTTTAGTGGCTGCCCTTTGTGTGGTCCAGCGGACCCCACAACCACCGGAAGGCACCAGGGATCTCTGCAGGCCCCGCCCCAGCCCCTGCCACCTCTCCCTCTTGCTGCCAGTCAGGGAGTGGCTACTCACCCCACCCGCTTCATCAAGGCCTCTATGCCAGCTGCAGAGACCCCTGTGCACCTTCTGTCCTCAAGAGCTGGCCCAGGGTGGCGTCCTCCCACCAGAGTATCTCTTTTTTTTTTTTTTTTTGAGACGGAGTCTCGCTCTGTCGCCCAGGCTGGAGTGCAGTGGCCGGATCTCAGCTCACTGCAAGCTCCACCTCCCGGGTTCACGCCATTCTCCTGCCTCAGCCTCCCAAGTGGCTGGGACTACAGGCGCTGGCCACCACGCCTGGCTAATTTTTTGTATTTTCAGTAGAGACGAGGTTTCACCGTGTTAGCCAGGATGGTCTCAATCTCCTGACCTTGTGATCCGCCTGCCTCAGCCTCCCAAAGTGCTGGGATTACAGGCGTGAGCCACCCTGCCCGGTCCCACCAGAGTATTTCTAAACCCCTTGGGAAGGGAGGGTCTTTGGGTCCCTCTGGGGGCCTAGGTAGAGTAGGGTGCAGTGTTATCTGCTATAATATGCTTGTCTCTCTCAGTCTTTGCATTCCTTTTCTGCATCATACCATGGCATTTTAGCCATTCTGACCTCATTTAGAATGTGCCACCTTGGAATCCAGGTGCCAGCAGCAACAGGGCAGATGATGGGAATCCCTCCCCAGCACCCGGCCAAGAGCCCCAGCCCACCCAGTGTACCCTTCTATTCTTTAATCTCAGCCCCAAATGACTGTGAATTCACAGGGCATTCTTCTAGCTCCAACTACGTCAACTAGAAAGAAGACATGGCTGGACTCTGTGGTCTAGAAATGCGTGAGGAGCTAAAAGCAGTGTGCTGGGATTGCTGTGGTCTGTGTCTAGAAGCAGGCAACAGTGGCCTGGGGTCCAGCCTCGGCCAGTGGGGACCAATGCCCCACAGGGGGACATGGTCCGATCCCCACTGCAGAGATGACTGAAAACTCAAGCAATGAATGAAGGCATTAAGTCAGAGCCTAGCAGGAACTGGAATTGAAATTGCTTCACAGTCTTGGTGAGCTCAGCGGTGGGACTTGCTCCCTGGGCAGGGCCAGAAGGGACCAGGTGGACATTCCCTGGTGGGGTCTGCAGGGTAGAATGAGGGGCAGGGCTCTGGGAAAGGTGGCAGGAGCCAATGGGTGCAGCCCCAGAGGTTCTGAGTGGGTATCTCTCAGTGCACAGACTGAGACCCCAGGGATGCTGGGACCAGATCCAGGTGAGTTGGTGTGGGCCAGGGCTGCTTCCCACCCACCCTGTAATGCTGTGAACTTCACTCTGCCCTGGCTGGATCCTGAGTCCACATCCCCCTCCAGAGAGTGCTCTCAGGCCACCTCAGGTCGGTCAAGCCCATCAGCCTGGACTGGCTTTAAATGGCAGGGTCCTGACCTCGCTTCACCCAGGGAGGGTCACTGACCTCAGGATGGAACCAGAAGCACTTCTGGGCCCCTCTCTTCCTCTGCGGAAGTGGCCACAGCTGGGAGACTGACCCCAAATCCAAGGCCCGTGCCTGGGTAACTGGCTCAGAGAATCACCATTACCCCAGGCACTGGGAGGCCCACGGTGGTTTACAGGCAGTCTCATCTCACTCCAGGACAGACATCCAGAGGCTACTGGGGGGCACTTCCTGAGATATTCAGCAACCCATCCTTAAACTTACAGGAATTCTGAGCTGGTTGTTAAAACACCGTCATTATTAAAAATTAATTATAGGCTGGGCACGGTGGCTCACACCTGTAATCCCAGCACTTCGGGAGGCCCAGGCGGACAGATCAGAAGGTCAGGAGGTCGCGACCATCCTGGCAAACATGGTGAAACCCCATCTCTACTAAAAATACAAAAAATTAGCCGGGCGTGGTGGCGGGCGCCTGTAGTCCCAGCTACTCGGGAGGCTGAGGCAAGAGAATGGCATGAACCCGGGAGGCGGAGCTTGCAGTGAGCCGAGATTGCGCTACTGCACTCCAGCCTGGGGCACAGAGCGAGACTCCGTCTCAAAAAAAAAAAAAATTAATTATAAACACTTACAACCAAATGAGTTATATTTTAAAAACACAGACAATAAGGGGTGGGTGCAGTAATCCCAGCACTTTGGGAGGCCAACGTGAGTGAATCACTTGAGCCCAGGAGTTTGAGGCCAGCCTGGACAACATAGTAAAACCCCATCTCTAAAAAAAAAAAAAAAAAAAAAAAAAAAGTATCTGAGCATAGCAGTTCACGCCTGTAGTCCCCGCTACTCGGGAGGCTGAGGTGAGAGGATCACTTGAGCCCGGGAGTTGGAGATTGCAGTGAGCCGTGATGGGGCCTCTGCCTTCCAGCCTGGGAGTCCAGTTGAGTCAGCTGAGACGCTGTCTCAAACACACACACAAACACACACAAACATGGAAAATAAATACTGGAAACTCAACACTTCCTAATTATTTTACTAAATTTTTCTACTCTCGTTGTGTTTTATTCTAATTTGGTCTGGGGTTGCTGTCTCTGGAGAGTGGATATAAGACGTAGCTCCGGGGAGCTGGTGGTGGTGGGTGTGCACAGTCAGCTTTCAGGGACACTTCTTTATCCTGGCAGACAGCTTAATGCCGAGGGGCCTGGCCTGTGACCAGGGGCTTGTTTATACCAGCAGGTACCTGTGGCTCTGGTCTGACCTGTGTTGGGTTTATCCCCTACCAAGTTATCCACTCTCTGGGAGAGCCCTAACTGGGAAAGAAGTTAGGCTCAGGTGTGTCAGTCAGGTGAGACGCAGAGGAGCCAGCCCCACAGACACATGAAGCTACAGAAGCAGTTTCATTACTCACAGATCCCAGAGGGAAGAGGGCAGCAAACCCCGCAGGGCCAGTGGGAAGGAGGAAGCCCTCCGGGACACACGTGTCAGCCAGCAGGTGGGAGCCGGACAGCACGGGAGGGGCTGTGGCTGAGCCTTTTCCTGGGCCCCAGGATGCTACCCAGGCAGGCTCCCCTCGGGGAGTTCCCACCGGCAGGTTTAACCCTTTTCCCATTTGCCCCAAGAATGCTCAGCAGCGGCGCTTACAGCTGCAGCATTTCCCCAGAGATAATTTTGCCGTACACTATCTCACTTTCATTATTTTCACATCACTCTGGTATACTGACTTCGGAAACAAAAGACATCACTATTCGTAGCATTCTGGTTTTACCTGGTTTTAGTAATGGTGTTTCCATTCACAAAATAGAGTGATCCTCTATCACTGAAAATGAAAACGTCAAGTCCTAGAAAACACAGCATTCCTACACGTGATGTTAATATTGTTCTCAAACAGTTGTTGGCTGAAGATTCATTTGATAAATTTTTCACAAATAGATTACTCTTTTTTTTTTTTTTTTTGAGAGGGAGTCTCACTCTGTCACCCAGGCTGGAGTGCAGTGGCACCATCTTGGCTCACTGCAGCCTCCGCCTCCCAGGTTCAAGCAATTCTCCTGCCTCAGCCTCCTGAGTAGCTGGGACTACAGGTATGCACCACCACACCTGGCCAATTTTTGTATTTTTAGTAGAGATGAGGTTTCACAATGTTGGCCAGGCTGGTCTTCAACTCCTGACCTCAAGTGATCTGCCCGTCTCGGCTGGTCTTCAACTCCTGACCTCAAGTGATCTGCCCGTCTCGGCCTCCCAAAGTGCTGGGATTACAGACGTGAGCCACCACACCCAGCCCCAAATAGATTATTCTAATGATTCAGATGATTCTGATGTTAGTTCTGTTTAGAAATAACTCCAAGAACAGTTTATTTTCTTTTTTTCGAGGCAGGGTCTTGCTCTGTCACCTAGGCTGGAGTGCGGTGGCACGAACACGGCTTACTGCCACCTTGACCCGCTAGGCTCAAGCAATCCTCCCACCTCAGCCCCCCGAGGAGCTGGGACCACAGGTGTGCACCACCACTCCTGGCCTCCAAGAACAGATTTATATTTTATTTTCACACTGAAAATTAGATTTTCTTCAGCCTCAGAGTATGTTTATGTAAAATTAAATGAGCACTGGCAGGGAGCTGATTTTTTTCTTCTAAACTGGAAAAAGGTTAAAGCGAGCACCTGAGTTCCATGAACAGTCAGGACTAAGTCCTGCTTCAGATACGAGACAGTTCAACTCATACAGAGAGTATCCGACTTAATGGTTGTTCAATTTAGGAATTTTCAACTTTACAACGATGCTAAAGCAACATGCATTCAGTAAAACCGTGCTTTGACTTTTGATCTTTCCCTGGGCTAGCCACACGCCCTACCACACCACGGCAGGCAGCCGAAGCTCCAGGTCAGCCGCACCAGGAGGAGGGTGAGCGACGCACTCTGCAGGCCACTGTGTCCCCAGGTGAGTCTGCCCGCTGCAAGCTGATGCTAGTGTTCTGAGCACGTTTAAGGAAGGCCGGGCTAAGCTACGATGGGTGGTAGGTTCTGTGTATTCACTGCATTTTTGACTTGCGATATTTTCAACTTAATGATGGGTTTATTGGGATGCAGCTTCATCATAAGTCCAGGAGCATCTGTATTCAAAATGGATGCTTTATAATTACACTAATATCTCCTATAGTTTCAAATAGCTAGGAGGAGATACTGAATGTTTCCAACATGAAAAAATGATAAATGTTTGAGATAAGCTAATTACCCTGATCTGATCACTACACACGTATGGAAACATCATTATGTATCCCATAAATATGTACAATTATTGTATCAATTAAAAAATAAAGTTGGCCGGGCGCGGTGGCTCAAGCCTGTAATCTCAGCACTTTGGGAGGCCGAGACGGGCGGATCACGAGTTCAGGAGATCGAGACCATCCTGGCTAACACGGTGAAACCCCGTCTCTACTAAAATACAAAAAAAATTAGCCGGGCGAGGTGGCGGGCGCCTGTACTCCCAGCTACTCGGGAGGCTGAGGCAGGAGAATGGCGTGAACCCGGGAGGCGGGGCTTGCAGTGAGCTGAGATCCGGCCACTGCACTCCAGCCTGGGCAACAGAGCTAGACTCCGTCTCAAAAAAAAATAAAATAAAAAAAAAAATAAAGTTAAATAGGCCAGGCACGGTAGCTCACGCCTGTAATCCCATCACTTTGGGAGGCCGAGGCAGGTGGATCACCTGAGGTCATGAGTTCAAGACCAGCCTGGTTAATAGGGTTAAACCCCGTTTCTACTAAACATACAAAAATTACCTGGGCATGGTGGCGCACGCCTGTAGTCTCAGCTACTTGGGAGGTTGCGGCAGGAGAATTGCTTGAACCTGGGAGGTGGAGGTTGCAGTGAGCCAAGATGGCACCATGCTCTCCAGCCTGGATGACAGAGCAAGACTCTGTCTCCAAAAAAAAATAAATAAATAAAAGTATTTAAAATTGAATGCTGAGGCAACATAAAATTATACGAATTCACCGCAATTACATCTGTGTCCCTAACGGGGAGTCCTGGCTGTGGATCTGATGGGGGACACCCCTGGAAGGATGGGGGTCAACTGCCTGGGGAGTAGGGAGGGCGGTATGCTTAAGTGTGGAAGTTGTTAGCAGATGCAGAATCAGTAAGGTGATATGAGACTCACTGAAGGAACATTCCAGAAACACACGTCAGGCCCAGAGGCAAAGGAAAAGCAAAGCCGATGTGCAGACACTGGGCCGGCAAGGAGAGAGGTGAAAGCCAGGAGGTCCTGGATAAGCCTCCTAGAGGGAGTGGTGGCCAAGCCAGAGGCAAGAAAGATGTCCCATGGGGAGAGAAAACCTTTCCACCAAATTTAAAGGAGTCAGAAAGGCGCTGCTGATTTAGGCTGCAAGGTTCAATGTAAAGGAAGGTGCAATTTCAGTGTTGTCAGAAACACCCGGAGGTGTGGAGTCGCAGCCACCTCCAGCTTAGCCAGAGGCCCACCCAGAAGCTGAGGTTGGGGGTCACCACACAGGGCAGAGGTCACTTCAAGGGAGGGGCAGGGGGAGAGGGGCAGAGGCTGGGCATTGTTCTGAGATTTGAGTCACAGCCCGCAGCCAAACGTAACATGCATTTCGACTGAGCGCTCAAGCACTCTGAGGAATTGGGAGAGTGGGTGAGAGATTTAAAAATCCATGGTTGGCCGGGCGCGGTGGCTCACGCCTGTAATCCCAGCTCTCAGGGAGGCAGAGGCGGGAGGATAGCTTGAGCCCAGGAGTTCGAGACCTGCCTGGGTAATATAGCGAGACCCCGTTCTCCACAAAAAGGAAAAAAAAAAAAAAAAAAGATAAAAATCCATGGTTGTGAGAGGATTCATATTTGTACAAAATTCATACGTGGCTCCAAAACATGAGTTTTCACCGAACGTCGTGCCCTGGATGTGTTCCCAGGTGTTTCTTCATGTTTCTAAAGGCCGTGTGATGTCCCCCATACCTGGAACAGAAAGGAAGTGGCCATAGCCAGGCCCTGAATGTGCTGAGTGAGAAAAAAAGGTGCTGGGGGAGGAGGACCTGGACTTCACACTTAACAAGAAGGCTGGGATGTGGCCCACACCTCTCTCCATGCAAGACCATGCTGTGTGAGGGCAAGGGCCACTCAGGTGGGTAGATGATTAGGCCAAAGACAGAGGCTTGTCTGCTAGAGTTCAGATTCTCCCCTGGCGTTCCAGGGGCAAAAGTGATGCTATGACCTGGGTGCTGGGAATAGAATTCTGCCAGCAACCTCTGCTCTGGGCCTAGGCTGGAGGCCTCTGTGCCACCCGGTGGGCTCTTCCCACTTTGGGAGGGTCAGAGAAGCACCCCCTTCCCGGGGGGCTCCCTCATGGAGAACACTGGGGGTGGGAGGTGGGTGGTGAGCGGCTCAGGCTCTCTTTGGGCTTCACCTTCCTGGTCAGGTACTTTGGTTTCTCCCTGGGAGTGGGTTCCAGAAGGGAATCCCCAGGTTCCATGGACCCTGAAAGAGGGGTGGGGCAGACTGCTGACTCTCCCCCAGGAGACCCCCAGTCACACAGTGGGCCCACCCATCTTGGCCATGAAGCCTGGTGGATCAAGAGAAGTGGGGGAGCTGAGGACAACGTTGCGGGCTACAGGAGGTCCTTTTGGGGAAAGTGACTCTGATAGCAGGTGTCAGAGCCCCTGGGGGTGTCCCTGCCATGCTCTGGCAGCTCTGCATCATCAAGGAGGATCCCCCAGCAAGGAGGTCTCACCGCCCCCTGGGTTGTCAGGTAAGCTCCTGGGGCAGAGGTGGCACTGGGTCCTCCGATCATCCTGGTGTGTGGGCTCAGTCTGGACCCCTGGGGGTCTTCCCCACCCCCAGACTTTCATCCACCTCCCCGTGGACTCCTCTGTGCAGGCAAGCACTCCCCTTGCTGGGCCTGTTTCTCCTCTGTCCAGTGCTGAGTGGGATTCTCCTTCAGCTTGTGAACAGGGACACCCTGGGGGCTCCTCTGGAACTGGAAATGCGGGAGGAGAAACTGGCTTTCTCTTCGGAGCCAAAGGGCAATGTTCCTCCAGCTGGGAGTCCACACCCCAGGCAGGCCCCGCCTTCCGCTTGTGATGCGGGGTCCTACCTCTGCAGCTTTGGGTGTCTGAGTCCGAGGCAGCGCTAAGGATGAGGTCACTCTGGAGGGCGGCCCCGGGTTCCAGGTGTGGGGGCATTACCAGACCTTGAGGAACGTGAAGGATCGCCTGGGCACATGCTCAGGGCGCGACGTTCAGTGAAAAGTCATGTTTCGGCCGGGCGCGGTGGCTCAAGCCTGTAATCCCAGCACTTTGGGAGGCCGAGACGGGCGGATCACAAGGTCAGGAGATCGAGACCATCCTGGCTAACACGGCGAAACCCCGTCTCTACTAAAAACACAAAAAATTAGCCGGGCGAGGTGGCGGCGCCTGTGGTCCCAGCTACTCGGGAGGCTGAGGCAGGAGAATGGCGGGAACCCGGGAGGCGGAGCTTGCAGTGAGCTGAGATCCGGCCACTGCACTCCAGCCTGGGCGACAGAGCGAGACTCCGTCTCAAAAAAAAAAAAAAGAAAAGAAAAGTCATGTTTCAGAGCCACACACGAATCACATTTCCTTATCTCTGCACAGTGACCGTGGATTTTTAAACCTCTCATCCGCTCCCCTGATTCCCCAGGGTGCCGGAGCGCTCCATTGAAATGCGCGTTGCGTTTGGCTGCGGGCCGCGACTGCAATCTCAGAACAATGCCCAGTGTTTCAAAACAACATATTTGTGCAAAAAGAAGGCCCCCAGATCTCAGGAAGCGGGAAACAGCTGAAGAAAAAGAACGCCGGCGAAGGGAAAGGACAGGTGTTCCCGTGGGAGGACCGGGGGACCGGGCCCGCCGTCCGTCGCTCGGCTGCAGGTGGGGCCTGGCCGCCCCCGATGAGCCCCGCCCCGCACCGCGCCCGCCCCGCCTGCACCCAACGGGCAAGTCCACCGCTCGCCCCCTACGCAAAGGAAAGCTGCAGCCCGGCGCCCACGGAGGACGACCCGTACCGCGGCCAGGGCGGGGCGCGGCCATGAAGGGCAGGGCCAGGCGAGGGGCGGGGCCTCGGTGGGTGTGGTCGTGCGGGGCGGGGCCGCGGCGGGGGGCGGGGCCTGTCGCCAGGAACGGGGAGAGAAGGGCCGTGGTCAAGAGAGGACCGAAGAGAGGGGCGGGGCTACCTCCCAGGCGAAGACCATGAGGGGAAGTGCTCACGCGGGGCGGGGCCACGTGTGGGGGCGTGGTTGTTGGGGGCGGGGCCTGTCACAGAGAAGGGCCATGGTTAAGAGAGGACCGAAGAGAGGGGCGGGGCTGCCTCCGAGGCGAAGACCGTGGGGGACGTGCTCAAGCGGGGCGGGGCCACGTGTGGGGGCATGGTTGTCAGGGGCGGGGCCACGGGAGGGGCGTGTCCCGGCTTCTAGAGCCCGCAGGGCAGCCGTGCCCTTGCTGGAAACCGGTGCCTGGGGCAGGTGGGGGCCCCGGGGGTTTCCAGCCACAAGGAGGTGTGGACAGTTGGGAAATTGGGGCCGGCGCACGGTCTGCGCTGCCCTCCACCCCCCAGCAGCAGATCCCTGCCCCTCGCCCGGTCCAGCATCTCACTCTCCCGCCCCACTCTCTCCACGGGTAGAAGTTTCAGGATGTGCCGCAGAAGGGAAGGGGCGCGGCCGGAGGGACCCCCGCCCCGCGATTCCGGCGCCACCTGACCTGCGGGCACCCCTGTCCTCCTGCTTCATCGGCCTCAATATTCCTCGGGTCGGGACTCTGGCCCCCGCTGCCAGGGCGCCAGGCACGGACAGCGGGGAGGCGGCACCAGGGAAGCCCGGAAAGCAGGCTGAGACGCACTGACCAGCTGGGGCGCCACGGGCCGGAGCCTCCGTTTCCCTCTCTGCAAAGCAGGCTCGGCCAAGGAGTAAGCGGGCCCGCTGCGGAGGGTTTGGCAGTGGGGCCAGGGCTAACCCCGGTGTGTGGGCAAACACCTGCCGCCCGTCCTCAGCGCCCGGTAGCCTCAGGCCCCAGCTCCAGCCAGCGCGCCCTGGCCTGTCCTGCCTTGCACGGGACGTCCGCCCCAACCCCACCCAACCCCCGGAGCTGTGTAACCCACGGACAAGGGTCTGCCCCTCCCAGGGGACGCCCAGCTCGATCCAGTGTGCCCACCACTGTCTCGGCGACCGGCCAGCCAGGCATAGAGTGGGCATCCTATTCAGGGGAGAGATGGGTGAAGCACACAGGAAAGGGGCGTGCGGTGTGGCAGCCTGGGCCTCCCGGCCTTGCCGGACTATGGAGACGGCTGCTGGGACGGGCGGGAGTCAGGCTCCTCAGTGCCAGGACTGGACGCTGTGTCTGCCACTCTGGGGCACTCAGCATTTCCAGGTGGATGGCAGCAACGTCCCTCAGTGTCCTTCACAAAACCCTCCCGAGCCGGGACTCACTCCGTGCCCGCCTGGACTGGGGCCAAGCATCCTGGCCTACATATCCCAAGAGGTTGCAGCGCGGGGCAGCACCCCAGGGATTCAGTCACTTCTGTCCTCACCAGAGGCAGCTCTTCACCTGATGAAGCTTTTTTCTATTTTTAGAGAGTCTTGCTTTGTCACCCAGGCTGGAGTGCCTCAGTGGTGTGTCCTCAGCTCACTGCAACCTCTGCTTTCCGGGTCAAGCAATCCTCCTGCCTCAGCCTCCTGAGTAGCTGGGACTACAGGCATGCACCACCATGCCTCGCTTATTTTTCTGGTATTTTTAGTAGAGATAGGGTTTCATCCTGTTGGCCAGGCTGGTCTCAAACTCCTGACCTTGGCCTCTGAAAGTGCCGGGGTTACAGGCATGAGCCACCACGCCCAGCCCTGAAGTTGAATTTAAGTTTTGGGAACATTCAAACCCGTTTTGGTGATGCCCAGGTGCCTTCGGGTGCCTCCTAACTGGCTACCCAGCCTCTGGCTCTCACCCAGCCTCCTGGAGGCAGCCAACACCAACCCTGGTCACTGACTGGACCACATCAGACCCCAGACCAAACACTGGCTTTACCTTCAGAGCCTAGACTCCTTGGCCCTCTGGCACGTAGACCCTGGCAGCGGCTTCCGCGGGATGGCACTCTCCTTCGTCACTTGTTCCAAATGCAGAGCTTTAAAAACTCCCCTTCCCACTGACCAGCGGCTCCACTTCTGAGTGTTAGTGCTGAGAAAATGTCAGATATGCACAACGATGTAGCTCACACGTCACTGGGCTACATCTCAACTTAAATACGCAATGACATGAACAATTTATAGAAGACATCCTTCCCATGGAGTATGGCGCAGCCATCAAACCATTGTGCATAAAACATGGTAATGGCTTAGCAAGGCGCTCACAAGCTACAATGCAAGAGGGGAAAATAGAAGAAGTGCTCCTACTAGGTCCTAACTTCCCCCTTCCCCTCTTCCCTCTCTCTCCCCTCTCCTGTAGTTGTATAAAAACATTTCAAATATTTGGCCAGGCGTGGTGGCTCATGCCTGCAATCCCAGCACTTTGGGAGGCCGAGGCGGGTGGATCACCTGAGGTCAGGAGTTCGAGACCAGCTTGGCCAACATGGTGAAACCCTGTCTCTACTAAAAATACAAAAAGTTAGCCAGGCGTGGTGGCGGGTGACTGTAATCCCAGCTACTCGGGAGGCCGAGGCGGGAGAATCGCTTGAACCTGGGAAGCGGAGGTTGCAGTGAACTGAGATTGCATCATTGCACTCCAGCTTGGGCAACAAGAGTGAAACTGTCTTTAAAAAAAAAAAAAAAAAGTCAAATATTTATAATGGTTGCCTGTGAACCAGATTATGAGTCTTATGCTAATTCTTTTTTTTTTTTTTTTTTTTTTTTTTTTTTTTTTTGAGACGGAGTCTCACGCTGTTGCCCAGGCTGGGGTGCAGTGGTGCGATCTCGGCTCACTGCAAGCTCCGCCTCCCGGGTTCCCGCCATTCTCCTGCCTCAGCCTCCTGAGTAGCTGGGACTACAGGCGCCCGCCACCGCGCCCGGCTAATTTTTTGTATTTTTTTAGTAGAGACGGGGTTTCACTGTGGTCTCGATCTCCTGACCTTGTGATCCGCCCGCCTCGGCCTCCCAAAGTGCTGGGATTACAGGCTTGAGCCACCGCGCCCGGCGAGTCTTATGCTAATTCTTTATATTTTTCTGTATTTTCCAACTTTTATAAAATGAACGTATTATTTTCATGAACAGGTTGCCTCTTGGGGACCCAGAAGACCAGCTTCCACTGTGTCCCCCAGCAGCCCTTCCCTCCACCCACCAAAAAGGCTGAGTCACTGACGAAGCCGGGAGTACAGCAATGCCCCTTATCCGTGGTTTCGCTTTTTCATAGTTTCGGTTACCCACAGTCGACCATGGTTCGAAAATATCAGTAAAATAAGTTCAGTAAGTTTGTTTTTTGTTTGGTTCTAGAAACAGGGTCTCACTCTGTTGCCCAGGCTGGTATGCAATGGTGCAGTCTTGGCTCACTGCAGCCTCCACCTCCCTAGGCTTAAGCGATCCTCCCTTCTCAGACTCCTGAGTAGCTGGGACTACAGGCACACAGCACCATGGCCAGCTAATTTTACAGTAAGATGTTTTGAGAGAGGAGAGAGATCATATTCACAAAACTTTTATTACATTATATTGTCATCATTGTCCTATTTTACTATTAGTTATTGTTGTTAATCTCTTACTGTGCCTCATTTGTAAATTAGACTGTATCATAGATATATACATATAGGAAAAAACACAGTATATATAAGATTCAGTACTCTCTGCAGTTTCAGGCATCCACTGGGGGTCATGGAATTTGTCCCCTGTGGATAAGGGGATTTATGTGTAAAGGAATCTCCAACATAAAGATGAGTTCACAATCAGAACTGCCAAGCACACGAGCTTCCCACTGCGGCTGAAACAGATCGCCACAAATGTGGTGGCTTCAGCCGCACAATTTACTCCCTCACAGTTCTGGAGTACAGAAATCCAAAATGGGCCTCAGTGGGCTAGAATCAAGGAGTCGGCAGTGCTGGTTCCTCTGGAGGCCATAGGAGAGAATCTGTTTCCTTGTCTTTTTCAGCTTCCAGAAGCCACCTGCCTCCCTCAGCTCACGGCCCCCTCTCCACCTACAAAGCCAGCAGCAGAGCCTCTCTCTGACCCTCTTGCTTCCTTCTTTTTTTTTTTTTTTTTTTTTTTGAGACGGAGCCTCCCTCTGTCACCCAGGCTGGAGTGAGTGGCGCGATCTCAGCTCACTGCAAGCTCTGGTTCCCGGGTTCACACCACTCTCCTGCCTCAG